AGACCCTCTTTCTAATCACAGCTCATTCAACCATTCTGTGTCTGTGTGGGGCAGGGTCCCCCATCCGGAGAGGGGACCTACCTGGCTGGGCCTTGGTCTACATCCTATGTGACCAAGGGACAGGATCATCTTCTGGTGTTCTCTGGGTACCATTGTGTAGTTTGTGGGGAACACATCTACCAAATCATCCAATCCCCCCAGCACACCCCCCCAAGTGCTTCCTTACTGCTTGGCAAGCCTCTATGCATCCGTCTCTCCCTCCCCCACCCTCCTGTCATCCCTGGCCATTGCATAGACTGTCCTGGTGTCTGGAATGTTCTCCCACCTGACATACTTTGTCACCATTCAGCCCTGCTGTCACTTTCCTGGCCAGGCTGAATCTCCTTCTCAGAGGTTCCTTGGTGTCAGGTCTCATTTCCACTACTTAGTTCTAGCCTGTCTTCAGTGTGGGATTGTAGGCTAAGCCAGGACAGTGCTATGCCTTGGCTTCCCTCTCAGTGTTAAAACCAACAACCAAGGGAAGGGCCCAGCATTCCCAGAGAGCTGGCCATTGAATGAACAGACATCAAAGACTGGACCAGAACCTGTGCCTCATGGGTCTGGGCCTGGATCTTCCTGGGATGGGTCTCTGCTTCTTGATGTCGGCTACAGAAGGTTGTGATCAACAGTGGTTCCTCATTCTAAGTGTGTCCTGAGACCCCTCAGGCAGCTCCTGTACATTCCTGCCTTAGCCTTACCTATGACCTGTGAACTCAGACTTTTGCAGCGGAGCTAGGCCTGGGGTGTTTTGCTTTAGTCTCCCAGTCAAACACAGGGAAAGCCAGCCTGAGAACCCTGGGTTAGATAGGTGGGTCCCCTAGAGTCAGTCCCTCAGATGTGTGAGAGGGGCCACAGGGCTGGGTGCTCCCTATGTACTTGGTGGCCCAGCAGATGCATAGTGAATGTCAGGCTGGCTGTGACTCAAGTCAATATATCTAAGAGGCCAACAGGCTTCTACAGATCACCTCTTGGTATTTTAAAGGGCCACTGACTATGTTTCTGAGCCAGGACGGCAGCCCTGTCTCCCATGGGAAGGGTGTATCCTTAGAGTGTGTGCTTCCTTCATTCCTGCATTGACATGACTCAATTGTCAGAGTCGGGGGTAAAAAGACCAGACTCTCTGTCATATATGTCTGAGCCCCTCCTCCAATCAGCCTGACCCCTGCTTTGCTCTAGATGACCACAGTCTAAGAGCTTGAACATGGGAACTTCACACCATGCCCAGACAAAGCAATTACTTTCCCAGTCTCCAGGGCACTCTCAATGAAGGAGAGTTCAGGAAGAGCACATCGGTTTGACCTGGCTGGACATCATAACCTACTCTTTTTTGTGTGTGTCTGAGAGGATATAAGGGTGCAGATCTATGAGGGTGTTTAACGTGATCAGATGACAGGCAAGAAAATTGAGACCAATTTTCAAGGCTGAAGGAGGAAGAAATGAAGGAGCTGGCTCGTGGCATTTGAAAACTCAGTGGCTCCTCGTCTCTCTGTAAAGGCTCCACTAAGACCCATGTGAACAACTTCTCAACACCCTATGCTCACAGAAGGGCCAAGTCTGAGCTGGCTGTCCTTCTTGCCAAGGGGTGGGCTCTAGCTGGGGCCCCACTGGAGTTTCCTATAGGTACTTCTGCATCAACCTAAGACTGGTAGTCTCCATCCATTGAACCCTTTATCCACCAACAGGCTTCTCTTCATCTTGCAAACATTCCTCTTTGGGGCAAGTCCCCCTGCTGTTTTATACTGCCTGTCCCCCCCCCCGCCCGCAGGAAACTACAGGTGTCTTGGGGCAGACAAGTAAGTGGCTTGTGTTGTATTCATACTGAGAAAGTGATATGCATGCTAAGCCCTGTTAGCAACATGCTGTCTTCCCTTCACGAGGAGGACAGATAAGGGAAGCTTATTAGCCATATGATAGGTGAGAGAGGGGTTAGCCTAAATAATGGGCTCGGCATACAACCCAACACTGTCCAGAGCCCTGTGACCGTCTGATGCTCGTCTTTGGTACTTTTCTCATTGGCTGTGAAGAGTTCAGTTTGACTCACCGCCCCAGGGAGAGCCATCGTGGTAGGAAATGCCCAGCAGCAGGAGGCTGGTGTGGCTGGTCACATTGTGTCCACTATCAGGAAACAAGGGACATAAATGTGGACAGAGGCAAACATGGACTTTGTTGGGAGCAGGGCTAGAGGTCATTTGTGGGATATTCTGGCTGAGAATTTGGCTGCATTTTGACCATATCCTGAAATGCGAGTTAGATTCAAGGCCAGTTTGTGTGGCTCTCACATCCAGTGTGGATGCTGCCTCCTAAGCATGTCCAAAATTTACCTGCCTCTCTCCATTCCCCCTGCTACTGCCCTATACCAGGTATCCATGCCTACTGAGTAGCCTCTTACCTAGTATAGCTAGGGAAGCTGTCTGGTTAAATTTGAACGGTGGATATACACTAAACGACACTGCAGATGACGAATGCCCCGAGTATTGTACAGAATATACTCATGCTAAAAGCGAAAACGGACCTTGCATCTGCTCAGTATGGTAACCCTGCTCTCCCTGTAGACCTCCTTGACCCTTAGGGTCTTATGCCCTGGAATCAGAATCCATCCTCTCTGCCAATCTAGGCTGAGATGTCTAAAGTGACAATCTAAGACAGTGGCATGACTGACTTTGAACTCTTCATTGTCCCCGGGAGTCTGAGAATCAAATCTCAACTTCAAGACAGTCAGGGGCTCGCCTGCTCCTCTTCTTCCCGGGTCTTTCCATGCCTCATCCTTGCCCTTGGCTTCAGCCTGTCCTCTCTGTCAAGGTGCTTTACCATCCAGTGGTAACACCTCAGTGGGAGGTTTCTTGATCTCTTTTTCCAGGTCTAAGCCATTTGTTCCTCCTGAGAGCTTTTGTCTGCAATAACTTGTTTAATGACCTTGCTGGCACAGTCTGTCAGTGCCACAAGGACGGGGACCACTAAGCCACTTGCATTTGACACACAACCTGTCATCCAGGAGGTGCCCGGTAAAAGCTACTGCTGGAAAATGCAAGCTGAGGGAGTTGAGTGCAGGACTCAGATTCTGCAAGATCTGGGAGAGCTTCGCTTCATGCCAGCACACAGAGGCGCATAAGGGCCAGATCCAAGCCTGTCTCTCTGGCACTGGCTGTAGACAAGTGCCCACAAGGGTGATGGCTTCTGGCATCTTTTAAGGAGATAGACCAGCACCACAGTAACTTGATGAGACACACTCTTGTCACACCTAATAAATCTGCCAGCCTGTCATCCTCTTCCCTTACAAGAAAAAAAAAAAAAAAAAAGAATCAACTGAAGTGAACTTAGAAGAACCCTAAATCACAAAAGCTCCATTGCAGACTCGTTAAAGGGGGGAGGAGGGTTAAGGAACGCTCCCACCAACCTTTGGCAATTCAAGTGCCACTGGACTTAAGCAACTCTGTGTCTTATCATCTTGCCACAGTCAGAGGTTTCCGACAATTTCAAGGGAGGAACCTACCACACAAGGGACCCAGGTTTCTTCCCTGGTCCATTAATCACAAGACAGTTGTATCAGGCCTATCCTTTAACCCTCTGGAGGATTCTTAGGAAGAATGCTCGTGGAAGCAGTGGTGGCTCCAAGCTCTTTCTCTATGTCAGGGAAACTCCTGTGACCTGACAGGTTTATCCTCTCCGCTTAAAGAGGAACACATGGCCTTATGAGCTTGCATGCTTCCTCCTCGCTCCTGTGTTCGTTTCTGAATCCAGCTCTCCTGCTAAAAACAAAACCCATTCATTCCCAAGCTCCCTTCCTTTCCCCTGCTCTCTCTGCTCCTATCATTTGTAGATTAATTTTCCAGAGCTTCAAGCCAAGATCTTGCCCATTCTATTTAACTGGAGGACTCTTTTCTAATTGATTTTCATGAGAATTGATTTGTATTGAGTTTGAGAATCCGAAACACACTCGCACAATTGCTTTTGTAAAAACTGCCCGCCTGCAGGACACACAGAGCTGGGTTTTGTTTTGTTTTGTTTTGTTTTGTGGCAGTGGCAGTGGCAGTGGCTCTTCTCTTTAGACCCCTCTCTAATGCACAGGGCAGCCAGCAATGTTACCAGTGCTCTCTGGGTCCTAACTGAAAGGTCTTTGGGAAGACAGGGAACGAAGCATATGCATGCACAAACAGGTGAACTCAGCAATGAAGCTCAGATAGAATTTGAGCCAAGGGACCTAGTCTCAATGGCCCAAGGGTTGAGAACTGACAACTCTGAGTCTAGAGGACACAGAGCAAGTTTAAACAAAGCAGTCATAAGCCAGAGGCAGGCCAGAGCAGAGACAGCAGAAGCGTTGGACTGGGCTGGGTGTGGGGTGCCTCTGGAAGGTGATGGAGATAGGGGTATCTGTCCAGTGGATGGCAGGGCTGGTAGCACCTTACATCCCAGTAACAGCAGGGACAGCTTCTAACCACATTTCCTATGGCCCAGGTGATGTATCCAGCAAACAAGTACTGAGCCCAAAGCAGTAAGAAAGGAGAAATCCAGATTCAGAGAGCTTCAGCATGTCGTCCAGTCCCTTGGCTGGTGAAGGACACAGCTGGGCATGGGAACTTGGGCAGGACTAGAGAACATCCCTCTCCCCATCCAACCCTCTCCCTGCTTGAGGAGTAACTACAATTGGGGGGGTGCTTGCTTAGTCTCTACCTGGGAGACTGGGGGATCAAATGTGAGGGATTTGCCCTCAGGTTGCCTTGACAGATATTCTGTATGCATGGTGGGTCACCTGGTAATAATTCATCCACCTCCCCGGCCACAACTTACAAGCACAGCCCCCACCCTAGGTTGAAGACAGTAAGAAGGCTAATTGGAAGTTTAGGGATGGAGTCTGGTAGGAAACAGGAAACCATAGTGGGATCCTTTTTCTCTTTAAGTTTGTTTATTTTCCCAAGTGCTACAGTAGAGGTTACTAGGAGATCTCAGCACCTTTCTGTGCCAAGTTCAGTCCTGCAGGCTTTTAGGCCAAAACTGAGGCTCCTTATGAAGTTTGTCTTTTTGGAGTCAGAGTATGCATCAGTTTTTCTTTCTTCCCAACTGTCCCTAGGACCAGTCAGTGGGTGGCTATGGGGAACTCTCTGAAGTGACCCCACCTCCTTCCCAGGAGGTCTCTACCCAACTCACCTGAACGAAGCCCCAGAGTGGGTGAAGCGCACAGTGCAGCAGTAGTGAGGGCCAGCAGCAGCCACGGCGCAGCACCAGGTCCCGGAGGAGCATCTCGGCCCAAGGCGCCCACTGGTGGGCCAAACTGTCAAGGGAGCAAGGCTTGGGTCAGAGGGACGCTATGCAGGCACAGTAGCATCGATTCATGTACGAAAGCGGTGAGAACTCACTTGCCCCGCACTTTGGGGCATCTGCGCAAAGCAAGCCTTCATCTTCGTTCCAGCGTGCACACTTGCTGACTCTCAGCGCATCCCAGAACTCACACCCTATCATGACGTACATCCCCCAACCCCTCAGAATACTGCGTGCACACCTTGATCCCATACACGCCTCCAGAAACATTCAAACACACTTATTGAACCTCACACAGCCCCCAGAAACCGCCATGCACAACTCTGACAAAGAGTAAGCTTCAAACCCGGCTAAAACCACTCTGCGCGCGCGCGCGCACGTACTGTGACCCCCATGCACTGTCACCGACTCCCGCCCGCACACTCCTAGACTCTGCATGCACTGTACCACCAAAATCACTCGCTGCGTGCAATCTCTCTGCCCCAGGGACTTCACTGCGCACACCGCCACTTAGGCACCTCCGTGCGCGCCCCCTTGGCCGCCCAAGCTCCAGCTCCTGCTCCCCGGTGGGCGTAGGTTTTCCTGAACGCTCCCATTCCCGCTCGCACCCCTCCGATGCCTCACGCCACCTTGTCTGGCGGCGACCCCCACCGATCCTCGACACGGGGAAGGGAGCTCAGGGTTCCCCCCACAGCAGCTCTGTTTCTCAACCG